CGACCAACTTTGGTCGGTAAAATTAAATTAATAAAATATGTTTTCGACCAAAGTTGGTCGGTAAGTACTTAAAATTGTCAGATAGTCGTTTTAAGCTGCCGACCAATATTGGTCGGTAATTTCCGACTAACTTTGGTCGGTAAGCCATTCCGACCATCAAAACACTGTCCACACTCTAATGGTCGCGTTTTGATCGGTAATTGGCCATAACCGACCAACTTTGGTCGGTTTTTAGCGTATTTCTAGTAGTGCAAGCTACACGATCGCGAGCTCCTATTCACGAACGCGAAGAACAATACTACCTGCCTCCAAATTACACTACGCGAACGCGATGCCATTGACACGAACGGGATGAAAAACAATGAGATGACAGAACCAGCAACTCTAAAGCATGAAGAAATGGCCCGCAGCCCATCCGAAACACACCCAGCCCCCGGGACCCCGTCGAAACATACCAACAAGTTCCATAACATAACGTGGACCTGCTTGAGGCCTCAAATCACATCAAGTAACATCAAAACTATGAATCGTACCTCGAATCGAACTTAATGAACTTATGAACTTTCAACTTCTACAACTCGTGCCAAAACATATCAAACCAACCCGAAATGACGTCAAATTTTGCATGCAAGTTTCAAATGACACAACGGAGCTATACCCACTCCCGGAATCGAAATACGAACTCGATATCAACAAAGTCAACTCCCGGTCAAACCTCTCAACCTTCCAAACCTTCAACTTTTCAATTTTCGCCAAATTACATCAACTTAACTTACGAACCTCCAAATCTAAATCAGGACACACACCTAAGTCCAAAATCACCATACGAAGCTATTGGAATCATCAAAATAGCATTCCGGAGTCGTCTACATAAAAGTCAAAACTCTGGTCAATTCTTTTCACTTTAGCTTCTAAAGCAAGAATCCTTCTTCTAAATCAATCCTGAATCATCCGAAATCCGAACTCGACTACACACGCACATCATAATACATAATACGAAACTGCTCGAGATCTTAAACCACCGAACATGGTGCTAATTCTCAAAACGATTGGCCGGGTCGTTACAATGTTCCTGATGAAATAATATTTGTTGGTATGAGTCAATTTTTCTATTTTGAAAGCAGGTGACTCAATGAAAACTATTAAACATGTTCTTTTTCCAAAATTTTAAGCTCTACAAACATGTCAATTTAGCCCCATCAGCACATTTAAACAACAAATTTTCATTCTATATTGTTGATCGTAATTCATTCATGAATGACATGACGCCCTAGAATTCTATAAACAAACACTACAGAGTAGTAGGAAGAAAATGTGAAAGACCAGAAATAGATAGGCAGGAGATTTGTGATACGAGCAAACTTCCGGAACAAGGCTAGACAGAAGAATTAACCATTTAAAATTTTGTTTTCCCAATTTTCATTTTATCTAAGCAGTACTTTGGAAAAAAGTCAACAAATCCTTTTCTTTTCACATTTTAAATATTGAAATAATTGACTGAAACATGAACGAGGGCCGTTTAGACATCGCAAGTCTTCCCAAAATTCATTTGCGTGGTGCTTGTTTGGCCCCTTCTGAAACGCTTTTTTTTTCTTTCTTTTAAAACCTTGAGTTAGGTTTGGAAAAACTTTGTCGTGAACGAAACAAAATTTCTTAAGACCAACAATCATCAAAACATGTTTACGTTAGAGAATTTTTCCAGAAAAGTATTCAATAACTTTTAAAAAAAAAAAAGGAATTGTCCAAAACGCCATTCCAAAACACGAGCAGTAGCCCCAGTCAGAATATCATTTGATTTAAAAATTAAATAGCTATCAACAAGATGAGGTGAATGAATGTGATCCAATAGCCAGAAATATTAGTCTTTATGCCTACAGATTTGCTAGAAATTTCCTGAAAGAATAAGCCAAAAAATAGAAAACCAAAAGAGAAGCATAGTTGGAACTTTCTCTAAAATGACTATTTTTTCGATGCTAAAGCAAAATGTGCATTTTTATCCTTTAGAATAGGCAGCTACGAGTGCAAAGAAGTCGAAGATTCAATACACCACGCCAATTTATAGCCTGTTTGGCCTTCTTTTTTTTTTATTGTTTTTGCTAAAATACTTTTTTTTTTGTCAAAATGCTTTTTCGGTTAAAGTACTTTTACAAAGTTAAGATGTTTGGTCAAAGTTTTTAGAAAGACAAAAATACTTTTGAGTAGAAGCAGAAACTATTTTTTAAGAGCTGAAAAAATTTAGATTTTTTCTAATGCAGAAATGTCCGGGACCCTCCTAAACTTGACAACTTTTATTTAGTTCCCCTTAAACTTCACGTGGTCGTTAATATCTCCATGAATTTGAAATTTTGATAGTCTTGATCCCCTGGATGTTGATGTGGCAAAGAGCGTGAATACAATCTCTTTTAGGCGCGTGGGAAGGAAGAAAAATCGAAAAATCAACTTCTAAATGGGGTATTTTTAAATACTAACTGCCACATAATCAAATATAATGATTTATTTGCTTCAATTGCATTTCTCGTTGTTTCTTCTCAATAAACATTGCATATCTTATCTCAATTGTAATTTTTTAGATACAATGAATATAAAGCCGAGGGTCTATCGGAAACAGTCTTTCTGCCCTTTTAGGGTAGGGGTAAAGCTGCGTACATCTTACCCTCCCCAGATCCCACTTGTGGGATTACACTAGCTGTTATTGTACAATGAATATATGTTTCAACTATGTATTTCTTATCTTTTTTTCTATCCAAATCTACAAAAGTTAACTGAAACTTTATTTATTTTAGCCAAATAAAAGAAGATTTAGCCAAAGTAAGAAGTTCAAATGGTATAATTTCTACAACAACAAAAAAAAAATATTGCATATTTTTATTTTTATGCAATGATTATTTATTTAAATTATGCATTTTTTCGAGTCAAATTCGCAAATATTTGGTTGGAATTTTACTATTTTTAGCTAAATTATTTATTTAGCTATGGCGTTCCAGCAGTGTATTTTTTTAGATGCAATGATGATATGTTCTAGTTGTGTATTCCTTCTTTTTCTGACTAAATATGTAAAAGAAACTTAATTAAATTATCATTATCTTTAGACAAATAAAAAATTATATAGTCAAAATAACGTTGTTTCAAGTTTTTTTAATAGATTTTAGCACGAAAAAAGAAATTTAAATGAATGGTGGACTTAAAAGGATAAAAATATACATTTTATTATAAAAAATACTACATGGACAAAAAAATTCATGTGGCAGCGCGTATGTCATACTCCCATGGATTGTCAGCGTCCAGGGGGATCGAGTCTGTGAAATTTCCAAATTAAGGGGGGGTATTAAAGAGCACGTGAAATTTAAGGGAGAACTAAACAAAAGTTGTCAAGTTAAGGGGGTCCCGAAATATTCTGCCTTTTCCAAAGGTACTTTTTTGAAAAGCACCATTACGAAAATACACTTATTAGAAGCACTTCTTAAAAAATTGATCCAATAATAATTACTTCTCAAAAGTGATTTTCCAATTGATTAGCCAAAAATAAATTGTTTCTCACCAAAAATATTTTTTTAAGAAAAATATTTTTTTTTAAAATAAGTTAGAGTTTAGAAGCTTGGCCCACAGATTATTAGACTGATATATAATTTAGATCTCTTCTTTTTAACAAGTTCCTGGAAGCAAAAGAACATTTTATAAGCGGACCATGCTAATTTCAAAATTACTGATGCACCTAATGACATAATTATAAAAATAATATCTTCATGTCACTACGTAGCTGAGTATTTGTTAAGGTTTATTATAAGTCTATATTGGCAGCAGCAGCCTTATTATTCAACAGCAGCAAGGTGCCAAAAACCTTTTCTAGAGATTTTTGCTTTTTTTTCTTTTTTCACAATAATTTTTTTATTTTGTTATTTTGAGAGATTTGTCATAATAAAAATAGATTTAAAAAAATATTGTAACCTTGGATCTCCAGTCTCATCCTTGATATCCAGACTACTTATCTCGTATTAGAATGGATAAGCAGGAAACTTTGCAATTCATCAAAACTTTAAATATCAAGATACTCCAAATAAGAAATTAGGAAACATCAAACACAATCCATGATTCGGATCTGCAAGTAATTTTTTTTTTAAAACCGTCAGATCACCTTTGCTTGATCGTATAAGAAATTCCTTATGCTAACGATGTATTTAATAAAAGTTGTAAATTGAAGTAAAATTAGAGTAGGAAAAGAAATGTACATGTCCTCCATAATAAGTTGTGATCCATTCCTCTATGAACTCATCCAAATTAAAAGGAGCTGAATAGAACATGGTATCATTTCTGCCTCGCCCTATAGGCGCATCACCATCTCACGGCATGCTTAAAAAAACAAAACTAGCTATTAATTTCTAAAATTATTAATTTTTCACATATATATTTATGTGTCTCTCAAAAATATTGGGTTTAATAAATTTGGCTCCACTCTCTCTTCAAGGTCCACCAATCCACGGTAGGGTTTGAACTCGTATTTTTTAACCTACACATTGCATATTGTGCTCTTACCATAGAACAATGCAAGAACATGCAAATATAGGTCCTTGTATCAAGATCAATTGCGCAAATGATAAAGTTTTATTTTAAACATTCCATGCAACATGAATAAACAACAATAATGAATCGCTCATGAATGGTCATGCTAGCGAGAATAAAATTTGAGAATTAAAAATAGAATCTATCTCAATAAAGATGATGTTATCGTGGACGTCAATTAAATAGAATTTCAACCAGTAAAAAGTCAAGAGAAGAATTTCAAAAAGGAGTCCTCGGTCTTTTCATGTACCTTATTTTATATTTATCCAGAAAGTAGTACGATGTTTCAAGCCCACCTGAATTAAATTAGAAATTTCGCATTAGAAGTTTAGTCAAAAGCAACTTCTTTTTGGTCACAGCTTCACATTACCTTATCCTCCCCTATATAATGATCCAGGAGTTTTCTGAATTTGCTCATCAACTACATCAAAACATTTCAACAGTTGAAGATATATAATAAAGATGGCAGCAACCAAAAGCTTGTTCATTATTTCTTTTCTTTTCCTTTCAAGTGCATTTCTTGCAAGATCTGCAGAAGTTGGTACGTTAAAACTATTATAGTAATTCGGCTCCAGTGCATGTTTGATTTTAGTGCATGCATGGCTTCTTATTTTTGGTGCTTTCCTTTATATACAGTCAGAATGAGTGTGATAATTTTTATATGTATGCGCATTTTGATATTTTTATCCTAGATTCGCGTCTGTTTATTGCTATGATTTTCTTATTGTCTGGGAAATTGTAGATGATGAGAGTGAGTTTAGTTACGATGAAAAAAACGAGAATGGACCAGCTAACTGGGGCAAGATTTATCCAGAATGGAACACCTGCAATACTGGAAAATTGCAGTCTCCAATTGATCTTCTTAACAAAAGGGTTGAAGTAGTATCAAACTTGGGAAAACTTCGTAAGCATTACAAACCATCCAATGCCACTCTCTTGAACAGAGGCCACGATATGATGGTAAATTGATAATTGTGGATCAGTACTACCACAATATTTAAGAGACTCCTCGACCATGATTTTATTAATGAGTGATTATTATTTGCAAACGCAGTTGAGATGGGAAGGTGGTGCAGGTCACTTGAAGATAAATGGAACAAAATATCAACTCAAACAATGTCATTGGCACACACCTTCTGAACACACTATCAATGGAAAAAGGTATTGCCTAGCTTACATATAATAATGTTATATATTCACTGCGAATTATTATTCTATGTTTCTCTTTCTCTTTTCTTTTTTTCATTGATTTATTTCCTCAATATCAACAAATGTAGGTTTAATTTGGAGGCTCATTTAGTACATGAAAGCGATGATGGAAAGACTGCTGTAATTGGAATCATGTACAAGATTGGACGGCCTGATTTCTTCTTATCTATGGTAAACACCAATATATTTATATATAATTATTAATTAACACAAGGATTTAACTTATATATCAGTGACTATTTTAATTTTTAAAAAGAATTTGACTATTAACCTGCTAAGGTCATTTGCCTTATTTTTCAGGTTCTTGACGTTGTTTTCTTTTTATCACAGATAGAGAAGGATTTGAAAGCTCTTGCCAATACAAAAGGTATAGAGAGGGCCATTGGAACTATTGATCCAAATCTAATAAAAATGGATGGAAAAAAATATTACAGGTATATTGGCTCTCTAACAGTACCGCCTTGCACTGAAGATGTTGTCTGGACTATTGATAGAAAGGTAATCAAGTACTTAATTAATTTTATGTGAAAAAATTTCATTTTGAAAGTACTTAATTTTATGTGAATTTGTTTCTCAGGTGAAAACTATAACGAAAAGACAAATGAAACTGATCCGAGAAGCTGTTCATGACGTGAGTTGCTACCCCAAAATATTAGCAATTAAGATTTTTTTTTCTCTCTAATTATATTATCATCCCTTATAGTTATAGCGGATGTTTCTGGATCCAACTCTTATTGAGGGTGTTTGGCTAAGCTTAAAAGCTGGTCAAACTAGCTTATAAGCATTTTTGGCATATACGTGTTTGGTAAATAAGCCAAGTGTTTATAAGCTAAAATCAGTCATAAGTCATAATAAGTTGGTCACCCCAACTTATGGCTTTAGCTTATAAGCATTTTTAGTTTGACCAAGGTTTTTACTAGTTTATCCTTAATAATATTTTCTAATTCACAAAATATTTTTTCCAAAATAAATTTTCTAACTTTCTTTTCATTCCATATTCGTTGTTCATCTTTTTCTTTACAAAAAAAAACTTTTAAATTTATAATCTTTTGTAAAGTTTTTAAGGATATTTTAGTCATTTTAATAAAAGAATTACTTATCAGCTTTTTTTACCAAACACATCAACTGTTTATTATCAGTTTCAGCACGTCTATCCAAACACGTAAATGCTTATTTAAAAAATCAGTTTCAACACTTAAAAATATTTTTCAGCATTTCAAACTTATCAGTTATTTACAATCAGCTAATCCAAACGGGCTCATTAAACAAGGTTGACATGTGATAGACTTTTCAGACCCAAAAAACTTTTTATGTTCAATTTGTGCGATTCTAAAAGGGTGGTTCTTCAAAAGAAAAACTCAAGAATCTACTTATAAAGCAATGTTTTTTTGACTTTTCATTTCTCTTTGTTTTATTTCTCACAGGAATCTAAAACCAATGCCAGACCAGCCCAGCCAGTAAACAAACGTCCTATCAAATTCTACAAACCAGAAGAAAGGCCCTGAAAAAGAAGTGAAATTATTCTGTAGCCATAGTTCAAAAAGAGACCATACGCTCTCTCTAAATTTAGCTGTTGACGTCGTTATTATCTACTAGTAACAGATGATTGTATTAATATCTTCCTTATTGTATTTATTCATTGGATCATATATAGTAATAAACGCCAGTTTCTGGACGAATTTGTTTACGTTTGTGAGCCTTGAATTTGTCTGCATTTCTTCCAGCATCCGACAAGAAGAATACAATATTACATTTTTAGACACCTCGATTTGTTTGGTAGGAGTAGTACTTGATAGTGAAAGCAAAATCATAGTCAATTTTTGAAATCACAAAGAGGAAATTTCAAACTTTGACCAATATTTTTGGACGAGTGATCACGCCAACTCTAGTCCTTAGAAAAAGGATAAGCAGTCGCTGTAAATATAATCCGGTCTAAAAGTTCGGAGTCGAATCCCACAGAGAAATATAATCCGATCTAAAAGCCCGGAGTCGAATCCCACAGAGAATTAAGATTTCGCTATAACTGTTCAATATCACCGAGAGGACAAGCTCGAATAACTTTTAAGTTACTTAAACTAATTAACTAGTGATTATCAAAAAGCAATAGAAATTTATCAACTAAAGAAACTAAGGGTTGGAGACAAAATTAAGTAGGTCTAGAGTTATGATTTCCCCAATTGTCGGAATCCTTGCCACTGCGTCTCCTATAATATCGTATAAGTATTCTCTACTGATCATGAGCACTCAACTTATCGTAATTCTCTCTCGAACAACTACAATAATGTACTAGTCATGTTCTCTCGAATTACGGTAGCTCACACTTGTTTTACCGCTCACTAGGATCACGTCAAAGCTTCGTTATCTCTAATCTCGCTTTTAAACCCGCAGTATTGATCTTTCATACACCTTAGGAGTGACTTTGTTCAACAACTACCTAAATATATATCATTTCTCAAGCAACAAATAATAAATAGGAACAATCAACCGATGGTCATTCAATCAACTGAAATAAGCACGTAGTTGAACAAATAGATAAATCCAAAGGTTAAATTGTATTAAAACATAACAAAAATTCATCCTCCGAGAGGTTCCATCAAAACTCTAGATAATAAATTAGTTACTCATAATAGTATGCAAAAACTACAATACTAAAAGTCATAACCAACAATGAAAAGTAGGAAGAAGAAGGGGGAAAACGCGTGGTTAAATCTTCCTCCTTGCTTCTAGCGTATTCTTGCCTCCTTGGGTGTTGTCTTACCCTAAAGTAGTGTCTCTTTCAAAAGGACGTTTTTGGATGTATTTATATCAATTAGGGTTGATGTGGGGCGTCCTTGATCTCTCCTAATTCGAAAAGGACACGTTGAGTCGTGTGCTAGAGTTGGTGCAACGCGTGACTTCTAGCACTCTCTCAGTTATTTCTTTTTTTCTTCTTTGTTCTTTTGCGTGCCGGGTCCAGTGCCAACCTCCATACTGCACTATTTTTTTGTTCATTCGCTAGGCCATTTCGTGCCTACTTTCATGCAATGCACCAATTGTGGCATGCTCCCTGCATCTCTACTCTTTTTGCATCAAATCATCCAATTCTTACCAACTTCCATCCAAATTCATTTCTGCACACAATAAACATGTAATGAGCATATTCTATGTTTATAAATATGTAATCTACCACAACTCACATAAGAAATAATATGCAAACATACTCAAAAACATGTATTTTTCATCGTTTATCAATTACCAGAGCACGTTTTATTAGATGACGAAAGTTCAGCTTTCTCCCACGTGCCATAAACCTTGAGTAGTAAAACGGATGAATTTTCACATTTCTCACTCAATATTAACAGTCGATATTTTTTTCTTAGGGGAAACATCCTGATGTGTGAAATGTTGAGTTATATGGTTGTGACCTTTATATTACTACTCCGCAGACACAAAAAAGACCCTAATTTATATGGGATCATAACTCATAAGAATCTAACTTTAAAAAAAACTGTCATGACTAAGGGTGTACATGGGTTGGGTTGGTTCAAATTTTTTAATTATCAAACCAAACCAATTGTATCGAGTTATTAAATTTAAATACAAAACCAAACCAATAAAAGTCGGATTTTTTAATCTCGAATTTTCGGATTTTGTCGGGGGGGTTTTCTTAGTCTTCATAGCACAAAACGTAAAATTTGTGCTCCAAATATTTCTTTAATCCTAGTAAGACAGAACTATATAAAATGTTTTTCAATAAAATAACATAAATATGAGATGAGTCATGGCATTGTACTAAAATATTCAACAATAAAGATAATAAAATCGCATAAAATAAATATTATTAATAAGTTATAATGAAAACAAATATAATTTAAAATTATGACTAATAAGTACTCCTTGTTATTTACATGATTAACCGCTAAAATAAAAATAAGTTACACTTACATTTCATCTTATCCATGGAAAAACTAAAAAATAGATATTCAACACTATTTTCATCCATAGTACAATTGAATTGAATGTCTTTTATTAGCATTAGTATTGATTTGATTTTGGTTTAGGATTTATTTGAGTTACTAACATTTATGGACTATAAAACTTATTGGAGCATCCAAAAATTATAAGTCCAAACTTGAAATAATACGTTAAAAGATAAAACTATAAAAAGCTTAAGAAATATTTATAAACTACACTACCATAAATATTTTTATGTATTAAATACATTTAAAACTTTTATACATATAATGTCGGGTTGGTTTGGTTTCGATTTGACTTTTTTTAGTTAAAATCAAACCAAACCAAATATAGTCGGGGTTTTTTTTCCAACACCAAACCATAGTCGAATTTTTTTTCTCGATTTGACTCGAATTATCGGGTTGATGCGATTTGTTGGTTTCATTTGTACACTCATAGCCGTGACTAGCAGAGGGCATTGCTGAACTCCTTAGCAAAGATTATTTTTTGCTGATGAGATCTATTTTTATGGAGTTCTAAAGAAGTGAGACCAAAAATCTAGAACATATACTTTTCGATTTCCTTTAACTTCTCGGACGTCCGAGGCATCTTAAATTGCCTTAACATAATATTAGTCAAATTTTGCTTTGATAATTCTCCACATCTCCCCCTAAACAAAATTCTCCACTAAATTATCCGTCAAATTAAAGCCAACTCCGTTGATCTTGAAAAATATATCTCCTCCAATCTACTTTAATTGATATTTGCTCCTTTTTTCCCCACGATATTTGATTTTTTCAAGAAGGAATTAAATTCTTTTTTCCAAAGTAGTCCTTGGAGTAAAGAGTCTAGGAGCATTTATTGTATTTTTAATAAATAAATTACGATTAATATGGTCAATTTCATTCTTAATTAATGCTTAAAGATAAATTCAGTGTCGTCTTTTGGATTAGAGCCGCAGAAGATGAGACTATTCGAAGCTAAAAAACATGTACACTGTAAAGAGAGTGACCGGTCAGACGTTAGATTTCAGTAAATTGTTATTTAAATGAATAGACGTCACAAACATTTGAAAATTTTACATCATGGAAATTGAAAATTGTAGAGTAAACGGGAGAAATGGTTGAAAATCAAACAAAAGGTGCCATCTTTCGACTTCCAGGTAAATGTAATCTTTAATGAATTAACTAATAAGACATAATACGTATTTTTTAACATCATATATACCTTTTTTTCTTGGGCAGAAAGTCACGAACTCCCGTAGGCCGTTTGTTTTTTGTTCTTCGCTGTTCTAAAAGTATAACTCTCAAACCTGAAATTCAAATTACAGAGAGAGAGAAGCCAATGCGCATTGTTTACAAAGTATACATGTACAAGGCACGCGCATTTTGGACACTTGCTAGCAGTATTCATCTACTCATGAATTGGACAATGTAAATCGCAAAGGCACTGATTGCAGCACCGGTGGAAGTTCATGACTCACTGCAAGATTAATAGTTCGTCTCATCGGAAGATTGTCGCCTGGAAAAAGAAAGAAGAAAAAATATGAAAGAGAAGTTGCATTCGACGACGAACTATGTGCTCCGACACGGGTGCAGGTGTCCGACACGGGTGTGGATCTAGAGGTCGGATCCTTCGAGATGTAAATTATAAGATTCAGGGATATGGATATGGATCCTAATACAAATACGGGTGCGGGGATCCGGCTAAAAATAGTTCAAAAAAATAAAAATATCTCTAAATTTTGTGAGATACCTACGTATAGCTTGTAAAGTGTGGATTTCCTTTTTATTCTCAAGTTGTAGATACGTAAAGGATTGGATTTCAAGATAAGGTATATTATTTTCTTCAAATTTGCCCAAGTTTTGGTTTTGATTTTGGAAATCAAATTATATCTCGTCTCGAATTTTTCCGTCCATCGTGGTCAAACTACCCAAAATTGTTTGATCAGATCCAGTACGGAACCCATACCCACACCCATACTAATATAGTGTCGACACAGGTGCGGCACCGAAACTGCCGTGTCGAAGCAACTTAGACGACGAAAGAAATCCCATCATGACTATGAAGTTTCAGCATTCACTATAACATCCATCCAATTTGAGCGCCCACAACAATCCTCCATATTTCTCTAGCAAAATAACAAGAAGCTGTAAATACATCCAGGAGGTTATTGAGTAAAAGCATATCTAGTCACAGTAGATTACATTTTATAGAATTTAAAAGAAAAAAATAAAAGTTAAGTTTGTACTAAAGTTCTTCTGGTAAACTATGCAGTCATGGTAGAAAGGGAATTCATATATGGTATAAAAAATCTCAAACCGATTCGGACCTGATTTCCACAACTGATAGTATCTTACTCACACTATACTAAACTCTACAGCAAAACAAAATTTAACTCTTACATTTGTTCTGTTTGAATGATACATCCGAAATTATAACCTAAAATTTCCACAACTGCCAATCGCAACCAATAATTAAAGAACCCAGGAAGCATATAAAAATTCCAAAACATAGTACAACAAACGTCCCCGACTTCTAATGATCTATCAAGGGAATATAAAACTTCTCTAAAAAGGGATAAGGCTCTAATTTGGACGAGTTAAAACTTAATAATCATTGAGAAGGTTCTCAAAAAATTAACCTTAACAAATTAAACAAAGTAAAAGTTGCTACTGAACCTATTCAAACATCTAAAATTATTCAGTCCTCGTCATTTTCGTTTCCTAGTTACTGGAGAAAAAGATACAAATTCTACTGGAGCCTGCTACTAATAGTGATGCCTAATATACTTGCAAAGGCGATGGAGGAGCGCAACCCACATGTCCAAGAAAGGAAGTGGTGTATCATTGTTCACCCTAAATACAGGATACTAATTTGGCTCATTGCCAGTGGGATTATCCGGAATTTGTACTCAAGTAGATTAACAACCATGGCGATCTACCTTTGCATTATAATTTCAAGCTCCTACTTATCTGAAGACATGGAAAATCTTACTTACCTAAGAAGGTTTGAAAATAACATCGTTTATGTCAACTACTAAAGTCCTGTCATGCAGAAAGACATCACCCGTGTTAATCTTACCACCTAAGTAGAAAAACTTTGAGAAAAATGTAAACTTAATGGTATAGAGCAAACTGACACATTAGAGGAGCTTATTACAGTATTAACATTGCAACAATGTCAGCAACTCTATTTCTTTTCTTTTCTTTTTTATTAATCAAAAGCCACCCTCATGGTGGGGGGTTAGGCATGACCCTACCTCGTAAATTAATAAAGCAACTCTATTACAAAGAAGAGATTTTGCAATAGAAAGATGATAGACGCAACAAGAATAAATGACATACAACACTAAAAGAGCACCAACCTATAAATTTGAGAAAGAACTTGCAAGTTGTTTAACTTGTGCTTCAGCCCCATTCACCCAAGAGGAAATGAGATGATGAGCAATTGCAAAGGGCCCAGGTATAAACATAGGAGCAAGTTCCCCACTTTCCACATTGAAATCGGATGACAAGCTCTGTCCTCTTTCTACACCCTTGCACATTTGGTCCACTTTACCTGCGGCTGTCCTTTGTGCCTTCTTGTATTCCGCAAATGTGAGCGCCTTTTTCACATCTTCTCTGCTGTGCCATTTAGCATCTGGATCACAGGTTGATTCACCGTCACAAAAAAGAAAGAAAATGGCCATAATCAAAATATAAGGTGGAATCCACACATTATAAGCCAAGGGGCCAATGATAAATTCTAGAGACCTACTATCTGAATTCTTTTCCAAGAGGCCCTATTTTACCACATTCCCCCCAACCCAAAAAAATACGAGAGAGAGGGGCAGTGTGGGAGGGGAATTTTCCTTCGAACCTTTGAGAAGAAAATCAAACATAATAAAAGATTTCTATGTTACCTTCTAACTCCGCCTTATCCACATTAATATCCAGCGATTTTGCATACGCAAAGAATCCCACCATAAGCTGGCACGGCATGGTGCTAGGTCCAACTGCAAAGGAATCATACAGTTCGGCCATAATCACAAAAGGAAAAGAAAATGGCATGCAGGATACACACAAAATATACAGTAACAAATACTAGTGAAAAAAAGGAAACCTCTGAAGACCCATTTCATGAAGCAACTAATTGGCGCACAATCAGATCAACAATGTTCAAAAGGGAAAAGGAAAGATAATACGCATTTCCCATTAACCCATGCATAATTACGCATCACATCTCCTCTAAGAAAGGGTATGGAAGAGATTGAGCAACTTTATTCACAGAGTGAAGCAGGAACAACTAATGGCGAGATCTTAAAGTGAATACGGCACGCAAGGTGAGACTAACCATAGGCTCGTCGCTGACAGAACCATGCAGAAAAGATTATAAACAAATAACAACTTTGTCAATTATAAAAAACAAAAGCTCCAATAAGACAGGAAAATAACAACAATAGCAAACAAATCTGATATATAACTGAGAGGGCCTGGAGTTTTGATTTCACAAGAAGCAACAGCAGAGAATGCTTCAACTTCTGTAAATATGCTTGTTTTGCAAAAGCATTCAACCAAAGGACAGAAACTTATAGGGAAAGTAATAAATAAAATTGTGGTTGCAAAACATAGTCAAACATGAAAGAAATGTCAGGATAATATCGAGAAGATTTGTAGCTAAATAAATCCAAAAGAGCAACTTTAGTATTCATCCAATATATTGTTATTAAAAGACATTGCTTCATCACTACGATGCAAAGCAAGGGGTTATTGCTTCATGGGTGAAGCCGTGCACTTCAGAGAAGTATAGGCTTCAGAGAATGATGCGCAAAGTTATCCAAATGAATATCGGTTGGCTTTTTGGATCTCAATTTTGAGAAGTTGGATTAATAATAAAATTTTTGTATATTGGATGTTGAATTTATCATTAGTACTAAATTCATATTTCCTTTGTCCCAGTTTATATGAAGGTGTTTGACTGGACAAGAAGTTTAAAAAATGACGGAAGATTTTTGAAACTTGAGGTCTAAAATAAATCATAGAAAAGTGTGGCTAGAAATCATCTCATTAAGGGTAAAAAGAGAATTTTAAAGTTGAACTGTAACTAAATATAGAAATGTGTCATTCTTTTTCGGACTGACTAGAAGGAGAGAAAGTCGCATAAATTGGAAAGGAAGGAATATATGTTTTGCATTTTCTAAATTTTTCTTAAATTGTGTGATTCACTTCTCTTTCTTTTCAAGCTCCACAGACCTTGTCGCTTTTTAGCGCTTCCTTCTTAAGAATAGCTGATTCCATAATTACTTTACATCATAAAAAGCAAGGTGTATAAGATCATATAAAATAAGAAGTGCCAAGAGAATGCATGGGAACAGACACAGCACATCTGTTTCCAAGAGCATTACCAGGCCAAGGCTGAGAACTATGGTACACAACTTGTCCAACTTCAATACCAGTCTCCTCCCAAGTTTCTCTTCTCACAGCCTCTTCCAAACTTTCTCCTGGCTGGCAGCACATTGAGAAAGTAATTAACATGTATTCAGAAATAAACTGTGAGTGACGGNGGGGGGAGGAGAAGCTGAAGTACTATGCCGGAAATTGAAATACTCCATCCATTCCATATTATATGACAGTGTTTCCTTTTTGATTTGTTCCAAAAAATTGACACAATTTCTTTTTTACGATAAGACATTGTCATTTGTAGACCACAAGATACTAAGGTATTTAGCATGTGTCAAAAGTCTTGCCTTTTTTTACTCGAACTCAGTACCCTGTCAAACATCATCATATGAGATGAAATAGAGGAAGTTAATAAAAATTGACCAAGGGCTAAAAGTAAATAACTAATATACTGATGCAGAAATGAGGTTCTATTGGCTAAAATTTCTTTTCACCATGGACAACATCCATGGGGATCAAAACTTATGAATGCTACCTTTACTAAATTAGGTAATTGCATAAATGAGGAAGACAAGCTATGGGCAGCTCGAAAATGCATGGCATACATACTTCTGTTGCTCTAGGCCTTACTTAAAATCAAAAGTACGAGACATACCTCCATGAAACCAGCTAGACAACTCCACATGCGAGGTACAAATCTCGACTGCCTACTTAATAGCACACAGTCATTCTCTTTGTCAATAACTAACATAATGACAACCTGTTGCGAAGGCAAGACGCCAAAAGAAAGTTAGGATTCTCATGTAGCATTTCAAATGTAAGTCCCATAACCTCTTCCACAAAACAAAGAAAAACAAGTAAACCAAACATGAGCACAATCACAAGCAAAATCTAATCAGAGAGAAGAAAATGAATCTGATTGACATACGGGATCAACTCGAGGATATATTTTCCTCTTGCACAACTCATTAGAGCATTGTTTCCGCCTCCCAGCATCAATTAAATTGTTCTTACCTCCACAAAATCCACAAAAACGTGATACCGTATGCCATTCTAGTAATGATCTGGCCTGATAAAATGCCAAAGCCGAAAAAGTAAAATATAGCATCAGTCAACATGGGCACCAATTTTTATCATAAGTATAATAATAACTAACTACTAAAGCAGAATGTTACTCAATATTTGGATATGCACAGCTCAACAATGACAATGATGTGGCAACTGTAACCTAAATTCATTTGCCATTTATCAGAAGAAGAAAAAAAACTGATGCTAGATGGTATTATCAGGACTCTTGGACGCGTCCGCACCATGTCTGCACTTCCTGAGACAACCAACCCTTAAAACAATCTAAATATGACTTTGGTAAAGAATACTTAAAATACTAAAGGTCCATTTGGTTATAGGGATTAGGGGGGTTATCCCAGTATAAAATTTGGGAATAATTTTGTCCAGCGTTTGATCATGGGTATTATAAAACCAGGATAAATTTATACCAAAATCATGGGATCATCCATCCCATATAGGAGGTGGGATTATAATCCTAGGATAACTTGTCTTGAACCAAACGACCCCTTAAGTTTGAAATGCACATTTACAATGTGACATTAACTGCATAATCAGGTTTGCAGTTCTAGATAGAGATTAGCAGCCATTCTAATCCTAGTTACCACACCTTTTTCGCCTACAAGAATCAACATATCTAAATATAGATAAAATGAGCTGCCTGAAAAAGATACATGGGTTTAAAATAACAGCAGGCAGTGGCTAGTTTATGAAACTGCTTCAACTACCTTAATATGCCTACTAATCACAATGCAGGCCACTAGAACAGCTATAGGTGATCCAATTCAACAAGAAATGATAAAAGATGGATTTTGTTGAAATTGTAATGAAAAAGCAGAAGTAAATAGGAATACATACATGACCAGCAATAGCAAGTTGAGCCATGGCTGAAGCATTTTCCCAATCAGAGGCAACCATGAGAGTCCTGAGTTCAACAAAGCAAAATTGCCTAGCACCCAATTCATTTACCAATCGACTACCAGCCTCTGTGACATCAATAGCCCAGTACACAACATAAACGCCATCACCATCACCCTCAGAATCAGAACCCAAGTAAACCAAAGAATCTTCACTCAATTTTACCTCAGAAGAATTCTCCAAGAATGCCTTACAATCGTTAAAACTCAACCAAGCCAAGTGCCAATTAGGCTCAGGCGAATTCTTGAGTGAGCCGGCTAAAGGCCTTCCCTTTCTGAAAGGCAAGATCTTGAAATTAGGGGAAGTGAGTGAAGGGTTATCCGTATGTTCTTTTAAAAGAAGGGTTTTAAGGGTGTGAAGAGCAGAGGCTGGTGAAAATGGATCACTTGGTTTAGGGGTTCTTAGCTTTATGGGGTTGCCTGCAAAGGCATGAGTCTTGAACAAATTCATGGACAAGAGTGGGTGACTGTGTAGTAATCTTGGGTTTTTGGAGAGGGAGACAAGTTGGGAAGAATTTGAGAAGGAAAGACGAAAGATCATTGCTTTTTGATTGGTGTTTCCTCAACAAAGGAAATGAGGTTGGTGTATGACACGTTGACATCTGTACTTTTGGCTCCCTCCCCCTATTGTGTCCCCTGCGCCACCACGTTGTCTTCTACTTAGCCACAATTTCATTTGTACACCTTGGAGTGCTTTTCTTTTATTTATTTCCTTCTCTAACTGATATTGGATCTTATTAATTCGAATTTCAGATTATTATTTTTTATTTTTAAAGCTTAAACTTGAAATTTCTAATTAAAGGTGAAGAAATTCGGTGTTCGCTGTGACGCTCTTTTTTCTTATACTTTCAAAGTATGAGTGATACCTTATTAATTTAAGAAATGTTACTTCAAAAGTTGTGTATTCTCTTCTCTGTAATTTTTATGTATTTCTCACCTCTCTAACATAAATAAAGTTGGTAAACCAAAACAATATTTACAGGGCGCTCGAGCTCCCTTAACCTGGAATGTAACTAGGTATCCATCCATATATAGTGCATTAATTTCCACGAAAGTCTTTTAGCACAATTCATATGTAGGATCCACGTAACACACAAATGTCTCAAAGATATGAACTCTAATAAGCACATGTCAATATTGATTCCAGCTTCTATCATCAAATATGGAAGCTGTAGATAGTAATGGTTCCTGTCCCAGTGTTAAATCCATCATAAAGATCCACAATTAGCCCAGATGACATCACTACTTGATAAGTGAAAATTAAAACCTTATGCTTTAGGTAGGGGGCCTCTCAATCTTGATAACCTGCCTTTACTCAACAATTGAATGTGTCATTTAATATGTAAATCGTGTGTGGGATGAATTATAACTTCATTATTAGTACTATATAAGGGACCATGTGAAGAGTTTTGTAATCCTTAGTTACTTTGTAACTATCTTGTTAGTTTGCCAACCAAAAGGGTTTGCTCTTCCAAATATGTCTTTGTATTTGTTATTTATGACTTCATATACTAAAGTATGTTTCCAATAAATCAAGATACTTTCAAATCCTTTTTGGTAATACATAGCCCTTTAGACTAACTTTTTACGAGTGAAGTATGTACCATAACTTTGTTGTTCCTACTTTATTTCTTTTTACTTAGGTTCTTATATTTAATTTGGTAAATGCATTAAGCTTTCAGCCCTTCAAAAATGCTTGAAAAGTTTGCGAATGACGATGATGTCATCTAATAGAAATAATTATGCACAAAGATAAATCTAAAGAACTAAAGAGTGAAAATCGTTCGTTTTCATAAAAAGTATAGATGTTATTATTTTAAATGTTTAAATGTGGCCGAAATATAAATCCGAACATAACAGAATACAACCACGAACAAAATCTTAATTCCCAAAATCTGGTGTCACAAGTGCATGAGCATCTACCAGAATATACAATACCACTACAACAACTGTCTAAAATAGAAAATAGACATAATACAATAAATGGATAGGATAATGGAGACTTTCTGTGCTACGGATCGTAACATAGAGAACAGCTCACCACAAAATCTCCTCAGCAATTGCGCCTACGCGCCTAGATGACCATCAAAAGTACATATCTCAATACATGCACAATCAGTGCAGAAATGTAGTATAAGTATGTAAATCAACGCGTACCCAGTAAATATCTAGCCTAACCCCGAAGAAGTAGTGACGAGGGGTCAACATCGACACTTACTAGTGGTTTAATAAATCAAGTACAGTAAAAGTATACTGGTAAAAAGCATGACAAGTAAAATAGTGAAAACAGATATAGGTACATGATATGATCCTCAACTGTAAAAATAAACACGAAGTCCTCCAATACTAGATACTTCCTCAAATAGGGTACACAATGGTCAACACCAAATAAAATATCACATCTCGAGTCAGGAAAACTCATAGGTACATTGACTCCCTATCAAATATTACGCATGAATTTTTAATCCCTATCAAATATTACGCATGATTTTTTCGAGGTGAACGGCCTGATCCCATAAGAGTAATGGCATGATTTCTTATCGTGGAGTGCGTCCCGATCCCATAATAATAGTGTACGCTGCCGAGGTCAGACGGCCCGATCCAGATGCATCTCATAATACTGTCGAGGCGAGTGGTCCGATCTCATAATGATACTACTAAGGCGTTCAGCCCGATCCCATAGGAATAGTGAAACTTGACGGGTTACTAGCCCACTCATGAATATACGTGTGAGTTATGAAATTCGAGAGACTTTCGGACAAATTCGTACAATACAGGAGAAATTCGTAAATGGAAGTGTAATTTTCACTATTAATCAAGTAGCTCATCAAATATCTAAAATAGCAAGTCCAATATCTTACTCAAGTCTAGTCTCAAGCTAAATTATAATTTAAGACATTTAACCAGCCAAGAATAACTCAAATAGTACAATTAAGCATGACGTGAGTCTAAGTCTACCCGGACATAATAAGGAATTCTAGCATATGCACGGACACTCGTCACCTCATACGTGCATAGCTCTCACAACATGTAGCACATAACAAATATAGCACCTACGGAGTAAATTCTCCCTCACAAGGTTAGATAAGATAAGAGACTTGCCTCGCTCTGAAATCTGATAATCGGCTCCAATACCTCTCTAACACCTCAAACCAATGCCAACCGATCTGAAACTAGTCAAAGAAAATAAAAACCAATCAAAATATATCCAAAGACGCGTAATTCAATAATTAATAACAATTCTCAACTCCACGCGAAAAGTCAACAAAGTCAACCCCTCGGCTCATGCGTCCGAATTTTGAATTTTTTTGAAGATAAATATAATCCATAGTACCACAACTCAAATATATAATTTCTTCCCAATTCTATGTCCAATTTCGTGGTCAAAATCCAAAAATATCATTTCTAGATTTTCTTCTAAAATTTCACAATTTCTACCAATTTTCATGTTAAAATCCATATATATTTAATGTATATAACTCAAAATGAGTAGGAATCATTTACCTTGTGATAGATGATGAAAATATACCTTCAAAATCGGCTCCAAATGAGAAAATGAGATGAAAATGAGCAAATCCCTAATTTGCTAACTTATATTCTATCCAAGTACTTCCTCTTCACGATCGCAGAAACACCCGCGCGATCGCGAAGGTCAAATAGCCTTGCCCAGGAATTCCTTTTACGCGAACGCGAGGTCCCACTCGCGAATGCGACACTCAACCTGACTAGCCTACGCGAATGAGAGCCCAGCTCCGCGAACGCGAAGGCCAAGCCTCCAGCCTCATAAATTTGCGGGGAGATGTTTGTGATCGCGAAGAGCAACCCTCCAAACGAAAGCCACCCCGCTAACATTTCCCATTTGCGACCCTGACCACGCGAACACGGAGACCAACCAGACCACCCCAACACGATGCCTTCTCGCGATCGTGAAGCGTAAACTCTTCCCCAGCTCCAACAGCCATTCACGATCGTAATACCTCCTATGTGATCGCGAAGCACACGCCTGACACCAGAAACCAACAGTTGTAAAACAAAGGGAAATGGTCTAAAACCATCCCGAAACATATCCGAGGTCCCTAGGACCCCGTCCAATCATACCAACAAGTCCCCATACCTTATCCAAACTTATCCAAAAGGCTCAAAACGCCACGAATAACATCAAAACCACGAATCGACGATCAAAATCTTCCCTTAGTTTTCAAACATTCAAAATTCTCCGAATGCGTTCGAATCACACTTAGACATTCCGGATCATAACCAAACTTCACGCACACATTCCAATCAATAATAAAATAAATCTATCCAAGATCCCAGAACACCTCATGGAATCCGATAACACAAAAGTACACTCCAAGTCAAACTTAATAAATTTAAGAACCTTCAAAATGCAAACTTTCGATAGTAAGCGCTAAATCATTCACGGACTATCGATACTCAATCCAAACATACGCCCAAATCTGAAATCATCTTACGAACCTATAGGAGCCTTCAAATCATGATTCCGATGTCGTTTACTCAAAAGTCAAACCTTAATCAACTCTTCCAACTTAAAGCTTCTGAATTGAGGATTATTCTTCCAAATCAACTTCGAACCTCTCGAAAATCAAAACCGACTCCACGTACAAGTCATAATACATAAAGTGAAGCTACTCAAGGTCTCAAATCCCCGAACGACATGCCAGAGCTCAAAACGGTCGGTCGGGTCGTTACAATACTGTTGATGGTCATATACTATTGAAATAAAGATATTTCTTTTCTTACAAACAATTTAATTTGTCAGAAATCATATAATTCTTAATTGGTTAGGTAACAAAGTTTTCTTTTAAAAATAAAGCATTAATGATTAATGACAAACTAAATTAATTCTTGAACTTTATTTTAATGAATTTAGGTCTTCTGAATTTCATCTAAACCTAGACTTTAATCACTATATTTTTTTTAGCATAAACTATGGTCGCATAAAATTATGAGTATTTAATCAAATAAATACCAAAATAATCTATTAAAATTTCTTCTTTATTTCTACTTCTAATTAGAAATTATATGCTCACAAATTCATAAAATATTAAATATCTTCTTTAATTTATGATTATATTCCATTTGGAATCATTTTGCATACTTTAAATTATGTTACTAAACATCAAGTTATCTTTGTCTCTTTAATATCTGCTTATTCCTTAGTACGCTTGCTTTCTTAAAAATTTCTGTTAATAAATTGTCTAATGATGTGATCAAAAAACCTAAATAATGAATAATACACGGTAAAGAAGCGATCATCTAAAAAGAGTTGTGCCTAAAAACGTAACACAAATTATTATTTTTTTCAATTAAAACCATTATGATGTACTTTATTACCTTTATCTTGGGCTCGGGCTTAGCACGGGCTTTTCAAGACTAGTATATGGATTTTTTTACTTTTAACATGCGCTAGAAAATATTTATATTTGGTAGTCGAAACAGTGCATAAAACTTGTATAATTTTGATATATAATATACAGAATGTGTATATATACAAAAAATCTATATTTTTTAACTATTATTTTAAGAGTGGCTATACAATGTCATTTTCCCTGTATATCTAT